GGGGTAGGTAATTTTGGAGAAACCAGCTCGAGTGCACTAGAATTTGAAAATACACAACCGGAAAAAATCTGCCACTTCCTTACAGAGCCCCTCCTCCAACACACACGAACGCGCACATGACCAATGAGGGCACGAGATGAGTTTGTGCACAGATGGAAGGCTGACAGGCAGGTAGGCCATCCAGTTACTTTAGCCGGGCCGGCTCAGATGATTGGTCGTGCTTTTTACAGCACCACGGCTTCCACAGATGACATTTTTTTATGGATTTTTTGTGAAAGCACTTCAGATATTCATTGCTATCGGGATGTTAAGAGCATTCCATGGAATATAACAAAAAGTGTATCTCGAGCCGGTTTCTCAAACTTACCTACCCCACCTTTAACTGTCAGTATGCTCGCAGGATGCTCATTGGTCCAAACTACTGTAGTTCAGAAACAAACAGTCTGACAAGATAGATTTGTGTGTGATATTGCGAGAATCCCGCTGCCATGAGCAAGATTTATTCAGGATTTAAACATGTTGTCGATCGATATATCTTTTGTAATGTGAGTATGTTTTGCCTCACCTCCACCTCACTGGCATCCCACGTTTCCTGGACAGATTTGACCCGGCTGATGTGAGGGATGCTGCGATGGAGGAGCGAACAGGCCTGGCACACAAACACACCGAGAGTCAGAGAGGCCCACTCCGGTTCTGCAGGAGAGAGAGAGGAAGAGGAAGAGGGAGGAGGGGAGAAGCATGGAGGTGAAGGGGAGGGGAGCAGGAGAGAAGGGAGGAAATTAAATTCAGGCACAGCGGAACAGAAGGAGAGAAAGGTGGTGGGGTTGAAGACAATCTTGTCATAAAAAAGGAACAAAGAAAAGACACAGCTCGAGGTTCAGGATATAAATACTGAGAGTAAAGGAAGCAGATATTACAGGGGACTCTGTGTGTCCCTGCTCGGCAGCAACATGTGATTTTTTGGGGGGGAAATCCTATTTAGATTAGTGACAGGAAGCAGAGCGCATGAGATCTGATCAGAAGTCAGCCGAGGTAGTTATCAGGTTAGCTGCATCAACAGACACACACGCACGCACGCACGCATGCACACACACACACACACACACACACACACACATACCATGTATACATCACTTCAGGGGAAATTACATTGACTTACATGCATTTCCTTGAGACTTATCCTAACCTTAACCATAACCAACACATGCCCAATCCTAACCCTAACCAAGTCATGGGGACCTCCATTTTGTCCCCATAAGGGAGGCGAGTCCCCACACGTGACTTTGTAAACAGATTTAGGTCCCCACAAGTATAGTTCAATGTTCCAATCTCACATTGTTTTCTCATACAGCATCTCTGTATAGTATGTGTATTCACTCTCTGTCCTGAACGGCTGGCTGGAGCTCCTGCCCCCCCCCTCTCCTAACCCTCCTGTGGCCGTCTGCGAGACAGCGAAACCCAGCCCGAAACCAGCCCGAACACACACACGCACGCACGCACGCACGCACGCACGCACGCACGCACTTTCTATGGGTTTTGGACTGATAACACACCCACGTTTGAACTTTGAGAAGCTCTAATGGACAGTTTTGATAATTTCTGATATGTTACAGACCAACAATTATACTGGCAGATTAATCGATCATGAGTGAAAGCCCTTTTGCCAACATGGTACTAAACACATCGACTTCAGCTCAGTCAGTCAGATGATGTTTTTCTCTCCGCGGTGTGATACATGAGCGGTGTCTTACGTGGGTGTTCAGTAAAGGTACATGTGAGTCACTGCATCACACACACTTTGATTCTGTCCATGCAAATGAAGTCAGAGACGCTTCAGGGAGAGTGACAGAGAGAGTGTGAGTGTTGAAAAACTGAGTGGATAGAGATAAACAGACTGTTTTTTTAATGTATCTTTTTTTCCTGTTTTACAGAAAATGAATAACTCATTCCAGATTGCTTGTTGAAGTTTATTTTGTTCATTCTGACTGACATAACCATGTAGGATCAATTCCTTTTGGAAACTTGTCTCAATGCACTCTGGGAAACTGTAAAACTAATTTGGACATGTTTCACAATTTTTCTGCAGATAAAAAGATAATGTAAATCTTTTTTATTTGCAGCCCTAAAGCCAATACCTAGATAACTGTATCTTAAAAATATCAGGATCGACTCAGGATGTTGGAGTATGTGTGTGTGTGTATACTGTACAGTGTATTCTCACACGTGTTAACATGCATTGTGTATGCATGGCCACAACCGACAGGCCGACTGCAACACTCAAAAGTCACCACATGCACTCCCTCTGCTGCGGCCATTTCTCACACGAGCCTGGTGCACACACACCCCAACACACACACACACACACACACACACACACACACACACACACACACACACACACACACACACACACACACACACACACACACACACACACACACACACACACACACACCAGACACACACGCTTGCACAGGGAGAGTGTAATGCTCTCGGGAATCATATGAGAGGCAAAGGAAAGAGAGAGAACGGAAGGGAAGCCTGGAGAAAGCAAAAAGATGGGAGTCGCCTTATAGGTAGCAGCAGGGAGGAGGAGATGATGGAGGATAAAGGAGGAAGATGATGAAGGTGATGGATGAGAAGAAAGGAGGAAGGTGATGAAGGTGATGGAGGAGGAAGAGTGTGTGTTCTTTATCATGCAGAGAGGAGATGTGAGCGAACCCCCCAGGGAGTTACTGGCATCTACGATAATCTTCCCTCCATGTCTCTTTTAACCCGCGACATTAGGGGATATTTATATAAAAGTCAACTTCCTGGAGACGGCGCTTTGATGAGAACAAATCAAACCACTTGCTTGGTCTTTCTTTTTAATTCGTTTCATGTCCTTTTTGTGCAATTACACACCTACACAGCAGCTGCCACTGAGCAGTGAGGTCATCGCCGGCTGAGTCAGACCTTATGGAGAAGCACACAGCACTCATGGAGATTACTGTGGCCGCATGACAGAGTAACCACACACACACACACACACACACACACACACACACACACACACACACACACACACACACACACACACACACACACACACACACACACACACACACACACACACACACACACACACACACACACACACACACACACACACACACACACACACGCTTGCGCACAGTGCTTCCTATACTTTACATGTTTCTCGACAGGATGACTGGGAACAACAGATGCCCAGTGGCAGTGAGCAAGAGGTGGAAACTCCTTAGTTAGGGTGACTGCTGGTTTGTTGAGTGTTAAAGAGCTCCATCTCTGACAGGAGTTTTGATATCACCACTATAAGTAGGGATGTCCTGATCCCCTTTTTTT